AACGGTTATAAACGAAAAATCACGATTTAACGGTTATTTTAACTCCGATTTTGATGATTTTTTATAACTACACTCATTGACCCTATATGAATACAATGAATGAATTTGATCTTCAATTTAAAATATTTACACAAGTGGATACCACAAAATCTTATGTTATACTTAATGAAAGTATAAATAAACTCTAAGTGTTAGTCAATCTATCGTTTTACGAATTCTCCAAAACTAATTTCAACGATCCAAACCGTCAAAATTGTTTGTATATGCTTGGAGATCATATCAGCAAAAACTCACAAAAAAAAAACATTCAGAGATCAAGTAACGGGACAAAGCTTTTCAACGGTTATAAACGAAAAATCATGATTTAACGGTTATTTTAACTCTGATTTTGATGATTTTTTATAACTACACTCCTTGACCCTATATGAATACAATGAATGAATTCGATCTTCAATTTAAAATATTTACACAAGTGAATACCACAAAATCTTATGTTATACTTAATAAAAGTATAAATAAACTCTAAGTGTTAGTCAATCTATCGTTTTACGAATTCTCCAAAACTAATTTCAACGATCCAAACCGTCAAAATTGTTTGTATATGCTTGGAGATCATATCAGCAAAAAATCACAAAAAAAAAACATTCAGAGATCAAGTAACGGGACAAAGCTTTTCAACGGTTATAAACGAAAAATCACGATTTAACGGTTATTTTAACTCCGATTTTGATGATTTTTTATAACTACACTCCTTGACCCTATATGAATACAATGAATGAATTCGATCTTCAATTTAAAATATTTACACAAGTGAATACCACAAAATCTTATGTTATACTTAATAAAAGTATAAATAAACTCTAAGTGTTAGTCAATCTATTGTTTTACGAATTCTCCAAAACTAATTTCAACGATCCAAACCGTCAAAATTGTTTGTATATGCTTGGAGATCACATCAGCAAAAAATCACAAAAAAAAAACATTTAGAGATCAAGTAACGGGACAAAGCTTTTCAACGGTTATAAACGAAAAATCACGATTTAACGGTTATTTTAACTCCGATTTTGATGATTTTTTATAACTACACTCCTTGACCCTATATGAATACAATGAATGAATTCGATCTTCAATTTAAAATATTTACACAAGTGGATACCACAAAATCTTATGTTATACTTAATGAAAGTATAAATAAACTCTAAGGGTTAGTCAATCTATCGTTTTACGAATTCTCCAAAACTAATTTCAACGATCCAAACCGTCAAAATTGTTTGTATATGCTTGGAGATCATATCAGCAAAAAATCACAAAAAAAAAACATTCAGAGATCAAGTAACGGGACAAAGCTTTTCAACGGTTATAAATGAAAAATCACGATTTAACGGTTATTTTAACTCCGATTTTGATGATTTTTTATAACTACACTCCTTGACCCTATATGAATACAATGAATGAATTCAATCTTCAATTTAAAATATTTACACAAGTGAATACCACAAAATCTTATCTTAAAAACAAAAACTCTTTATCCTTGCACATTTAATATTTGTAATAGATTAGTAGTGTATGTATTATTTTTTTATTAGGCTTTTATTTTTGAGTGTAGATATAGTACTTGAACGAGAAATGTTTTAATGTTTTGAAGTAATATTTACGTGGCAATGTGTGGTATGTGCAAATTTAAAAAAAAAATATTTTTTTCTTAACGGATCATAACGGGTCGGGTCATTTTACCCGTTGGGTAAAGTGACACGACCTGTTAAGGACCCGTTAAGATAACGGGTGTGACACGACACGACCCGTTAAGATAACAGGTGTTACACGAAAACGACACGAACACGATAGACACGACCCGTTTGCCAGGCCTAAGTTTAACGGACGAAATTTTTGTCGAGCAAGATGAAAATAGCCGACGAATTCAAATTTTGTCAGGCAAGATGTGGCGAAATACATGCCAAATTTTTTCCTTGGCATCACCCTTTTGCCCGACGAAAATATATTGCCCGATGAGTTTCTTTCGTCACCTAAAGCCTTTGTGAAAAAAATCAAAACATTGACCAATTTTGTCTGATCAATTGAAATTTTTGTCGGATAAAGAGATTTTACCCCTCAATTTTGGTTTGTCGGGGAAAATTTTGTGGGGGCAAATAGTAATTTCCAATAGTGAAACCAGCAAACCAAGAAGAGGCGTTTAATCATACCACGTTTTGAAAAGCACCTTTTTATTTCCTTATCAAATAGGTAAGGGGCATTTTGATATAGATACCTTTTAATCAAACATTTATAACTTTTAAACTTTTGATCAAACATTCTTCTACTAATTTTTAATTAAAGATTATGATTTTTATTGTATTTAATTAACCAACTAGTTCAAAAAAATAATATCACAAATATTCTAAAATCACCACAAACATCCTATCTTATCTTATCATAATTCGTTCAAAATGAATTTTTCTTATTCAAATAATTTGTTGTTTTAAATTCTAAAAACACATAAACATCTTATTAACATACAATTATGAAATATAACATGCACATATATTAAATATAACGTACCAAACAGATATATTAAATATAACGTACCAATCTATTGGTACGTTATATAAATTTAATCTGAGTACGTATTAGTATTTTGGTACGTTATAAAATATTGTTTTTGGTATGTTATGCAATTCTTTATTTAGTACGTTGTATTATCCTTATTTTGATACGTTCAAAACTTGTGGTACGTTATGTGTAAGTTGTGTAACCCAAAAAACTACATCTCAATTTTAATTATAAACAACTCTTGTTTTTTTTATAATCTATACAAAATGTTGAGTTGGAAATTGGAAAAACTATATTTCATCCAATTAATCTTGAACCCCAGTAGATATAATTGAATCCTTAAATTGAATTGAAGAAGGGATGAGATTCCATAAAAATAGCAATAAATTAATGACTATTATTGAGTGCATTTTTTTTTTTTACATAGATATAGATTTAAAAGAATTTATAAAATACTTAAATTAAGAATATACCTGGAATATAAAGTTTAATTAAAAGTAAAAGCACTTTAATCAAAAGTTGAAAAGTAACATGTTTAATTAAAAAAAATCTAAAATGAGGCACCTAATTCTAATTTATTCTTAGGTAACCAACTAAACGATCGATTTCCAAATCCAAACCGGTTTAATATTCGCATCCTATAAATAGCCGGTCATTCTATTTCATTTATCACAAAAAACCCAACAGTTATTCTCTCCCTCTCTCTCTCTCTCTCTCTCTCTCTCTCTCTCTCTCTCTCTCCATATACAGTGAAGTTGCAGCGATAACCTACAGATGATGGATATTATCACCAGAAACCCTAGCTCTGATGAGGACTTTGTTTCTCCTCAAGAACCAACACACTATATCGTGTTTCACCCCATCTTTCAATCTTCAAGAAGGATGGAAGAAGAAGTGGACGAACAAGAAGAAGAGAAAGTCTCCACAGAGCTAACCCTAGCGCCTGCTTCCAGTACTTGTCAGTACCCACAATATGATCACAGAGTTTCAACAACTCTGACATTAGGGTTTCCATCTTCGACGTTATTCACCAACAAGAGAGAAGCAGTGGATATTCATAACCCTTCTCCTTTCCGTTATCCGGAAAGTTGACAATTACTACCACTCGACGTGAACATCAATATTAAGCAAGAGGCTGAGCAGCAGCAGGAGGAGGAAGAGAGACAATTACTGATCGACGTGAACAATATTCAGCACGACGACGAGGAGGAGGAGGAGGAGGAGGAAGAAGAAAGGTGGAAAATCAGGAAGACCCTGACGACAGGTGATCTCTGAAGCACATGCAGGTTTGTGGAGACAAAAAGTTTGGCGCAGAAGCATCTGTTGCTTTACTGGAACGCCGAGTTTGTGGAAGGAGTTTTGGGTAGCAAGGGTGCCGGAGTTATAGTTCGCGACTGCGATACGAATTCAAACCATAAATTGAGTGTCAGGTATTGGAAGAGCTCCCACAGTTACGTTTTGAATAGAAGGTGGGGCAAGTTTGTGAGGAAGAGAGGGTTGAAGGAGGGTGATGAAATTGGACTCTTCCAGGTTCATGTTTTCGGTTCTCCGGCGGTCAGACCAGCCAACCAGCTCTTCATCCATGACAGTCTAATGGCAGCGAAACGGATCGAAGAAAGAAGAAGAAGAAATTTTAATCAATCCTCTTATTTTAATGTTTAGTGAACTAATTAACTTTTTTTTTTGGTACATTAAGAAAAACTTAATTTTTTTTTTACAAAAATGTTACTCTTAATACATATTTGTACCATCATTTCTATTAGACAAGACACCTATAGGCCCTACTTCTATTAGGAAGACCTCATAATTTTTTTTTTCTCAATTTGTTTACCTTCTTTAGTTCCTTAGACGTATTTATGTTTTTTTTTTCCTTTCTGAACAGACGATATTATCTACATTAAGGAGAAGGTGATAGACTTAGCCTCATAATGTATTCAATATGTATTTAATATGTTTGAATCATATAAATTTTTACTGTATTTTATTTTATTTTTTTATACAAAGAGGTATCTAATATGACCAAAACAATATTGAAATGCACTGAGATTATATAAAAGTTATTGTAGTATTAAAACACTGTCACATGATATAATCAGTTCAATCCACCGATGTTATAACAATGGGGTATAATATTTATTTTTAAAGCATAAATATGTCGTTTACGCATATTGTAAGCGCATGAATATTGCATGCCTAAGCAAGTCTGGACAAAAATATAGGCAAGAAAATAATTGGGAATGTTTTATGGATACAATTACAAACCATAGTCATTTAGTAGGCCTAGCATTATACTTACAACAACCAAGCCATATCCCAGTAAGTAGGGTCGATTTTGCGTAAAACTTGAAACTCTAGAAAACCAAAAAAATAAAAGGAGGATTACGATAACTATACTTGTAAATTTCAAATTGGGAAAAGAAATGGTAAAACTGTACCAAAAAAAAATTTGGAGAGATCTCAAAAATCGAAGGTTTTTATACCATTGATTGTTTAGAACATAAAGTACAAGGTCAAAGTCTGAAGTCTCCAGTTGCCATTTTTTCAATATAAAGACACATGGAAACTACTAATAGCCTAATAGGAGGAGCAGTATTAAAATCGCATTAGTACAGTGAGTTTTTAATGCCAGCGTTTGGAAGACCTCACTGACGAGCTGCTGCCGGCGGTAGATTTCCAAGGACCTGAAATGAATTAGGGGAATGAATTAAGAGAAGCGGCGTCGTCGAAAGGAGGAAATGAAGGGGGGGCGGGGACGGGGGTTTGGAGAATTACGGTGGCTATGGTGAAAGTATATGAATCACTGCTGGTCTAAAGGTTGAATACAACATAACGGTTATACGTAGACGGAAGGATTCAGATACATACTTGGCAAAACCTTTGAGGAACTTCTGATCACCGACGTCCGAGTAGCTTTTGTTTCTGCCAACTTAGGTGATGGCTTTGGAAGTTTAGATGGTGCAAACCTTGAATCCAGATAAAAAGAACAATTGAAGCATTAGTTTCATAGGAATGAAGTGGGTTTAATCACTAGAGAGTCGGGCAAATATTAAAATTTCCAAATTAATCACCCTCAATTTGAACTCAATTTTTAAAACTTTGACCAAGTAACAAATATAACAATAAACGGTGCATCAAAAATTTGGGAATTTAATCTTACTAAAAAAATAGCACGTCATCAATCACATGAGGATGTGAGGAAATGAGAAACTCACCTTACTGTGCGCTGGGATGGTGTCTTTTCGCCTTGAGCATTCTCAGTTTGAGTTTTCATGACTTCTGTATTTCCAGCATTTGTACTTTCTGTTGGTTTTGTAACATCAGGGAAAAGAGTAAACTCCATAAAACTGGCCATGGAACCCTCAGTTTCTGTTCCCATTGAGAGACCACCATCAGATATGTCGCTTAATCTCTCCCCAGAATCTTCCTCACCAAAGCCCACGAGCTCAAAATCTTCGGTGATGTTTTGACTTGACTCATCTCCACGCTTTTGTTGAGTCGAGTGTTCCTTATGATGTCTAAAGTCATCTATTGACTGCTCAGAACTACCTTCAGAATGCTTTCCTCCACCTCCATACTTTGGTTGAGTTGAATGGCCCTTGTGATTTCTAAAGTCATCTAGTGACTTATCAGAACCAGCTTCAGAATTCTTTGTCTCACCTCTTTGCTTTAACCGAGGTGAATGCTCCTTATTATCTCTAAAGTTGTCTGCTGACTGCTGCGAACTATCTTCAGAATGCTTTGCCTCACCTTCATGCTTTGACTGTGGCATATGTTCCTTATGATGTCTAAAGTCATCCATTGACTGAGAACTACCTTCAGAATCATTTGCCTCTCCTCCGTTCTTTGACCGAGGAAAATCTTCCCTACGATTTCTAAAGTCATCTGTTGAAAGCTGAGAACTAACTTCAGAACGCTTATCACTATAATATCCTGAGCCTCTTCTACCTGGGCTCTTTTGGCTCAGTCGAGGAGACCCAATTGAATGTCTTCTTGGAGAGGAAGACGCATATCTTAGTGAGCTCATGCCACGGTGTAACCCATTACTATTGACCCTCAGCAATCGTTCAATCTCCTCATCTTTCTTAGCAATTGTGTCCCTGAAGGAAGCCACCTGCAAGATTTAACAGATAATTAGATATGGAATAAAAGCATTTCCTGACTAACTTCTGAGGGGATACAGTATTTGTCAGCTTTGCACTGTTGCAACCCCAATATTTCATCCTGCCAGCTGATCATGTCAATTTCTTTTATCTGTTGAATGCAACCCTTATTCTGGAAAAAGGAAAAACGTCCTACAATCACTGAGGTTTTATTCTCAAAAGCCAACAGATTTGGTAGGTCAAAATATGAACTGTGGAAAACAACCCCTCCTATAAGGTTCCACAGCACCAATGCTTTCAATCAACATAACCGGTATCATATAGAGAGTCAATGAGTAAAAGTATTTTCAACAGTCAACCAGGAAAATAAACCCAGAGACAATACTGGAAACAGCATCAGTATAGGGCGTCCAACCAGAGAAAGGCAGGTTCATTTTAGAACTATTCTCTACGAGTAGGTGACAAGGCACCAGCCCACATGGCAGGAGGATGCTCTCTCAGCACCAATTTTAAGTGTGAAGCCAGAAACGCTTAGCATTAAAGAAACTCCCTGTGCAGTTTAACTGCTCATTATAGCAAATCTATTACATCGGTGCGTACAGTTCTCACTAAACCGCATACGGGGTCGGTAAGCTTTTTTATCTTCTTTTTTTAAAAGACCAGCATTCCTAGTTGACAACCCATTACTTTCATTGGAAACGAAGAAACAGCATCAAAAGGACCTATTCAATTTTCTATAACCTCTACTTATTTGACAAGACAGTGAACTAATTTGAAAAAGCAATGGAAATTTATCTCAAATTAATCCAAATGGCAGAAAGACACTATATCTAGGTAGACATACTTAAAGAAAATAATAAGACTCTGTACCTGCTCCATAAGTTCTCTTACATATCTTCCCTCTTTGTTGCTCCGGGCAGCACCTAATTCAACACCAGAAACCCTCTCTGCAAACTTCAGTGTACTTATAGTCTGAGCGAAGGATTCAACATCCGGATTCAGCTGTACAAACATGAGTGTCTTTGCTTGACCACCTACAGTTAGAGAAGCAAATCAATAAATAACCAATCCATAAATTGAAGATAGCAAGAGCTATAGAACATAACTTGCATACTACAACAATGACCTTGTCATCTCATCAAGAATGAAACCAAATAATTGAACAAGTACCTAAAGAACTCTGAAGCACTTGAGTTAATTTGCTGTTTCTATACGGTACATGTGAAGACTTCTGTGCAAGAGCAAAAATCACATCCCCGAGAGCAGACAGTGACTTGTTTATATGCTGTGCCTCCCTAAGCCTATCTCCAGTAGCTTCAGATCGATCCACTCGTTCGCTTCCGGCAAGATCCACGAGATGTAGACTACCACGCAGAGAAGTGTCAGACTTCAGGTCCACTCCACAAACGTGAACAGTCAAAACACTGCACCATTTTAATTGATTAAAAATCATGTCGCATGGAAGAAGACAATAAATATAATGTTGTTAAAAAAACTTTGTATTCAGAATATAACCTATGAGATCGGCTACTTCTTTCATTTAGGGCAGTAGCACCGACTGCCCGGTTCATCAACCCAATATTCATTAACTTTAGGACATCTGCAGTTGAGTTAACAGGATGCATGCTTGCTTCAGGGACAGCTAACCCATTTGGCTGGGTAGTATTCCAAATCCCAAGTGTGTGCAAGTTAAAGGAAACAAAATCTTTTGTAATACCAAAGTGAGGAAGATAGGATCAATATCATCAGGAATGAAGCAAACTATTACTCAATGCAAGCATCCTACTTCTCAACCGTGGCATTTTTAAAGGTAACACAAATTAACGAAATGAAGGATATCTTTTTTGAGGACCCTCACTTGAGAGTAGATCACGAACTTGTTCATTATATATCTCTACCATTTGAACACCAACTTCATAAGCTATGGAGCTTTTCCTGCTCTGAGATATTTGGAAAAGATCATTTAATGCTCGATAGTTGATACCCCAGTCATCTGTTGAGGATACACTAGGCCCAGACTAGAAGCAACACAAAAAATATGTCAAGACATGGGTAAGAATAATGTAAATGGTTGATATGAGAAAACAAAAACATACTTAAATTCTTACCATCGTATAGGTCTTTCCTGAACCAGTTTGACCATAGGCAAATATACAAACATTGTATCCATCAAGGACAGAACGAATCAATGGTTGGGTGTCTAAAAATACGTCCGCTGTTGACATAGGTAAATATAAGTTTGCCAATAGTAATGACAAAAATCAATGCCAACATCCATGTTGTACAATATAAGATATTAAATACCTTGTGTAGCTGCAGGACCAAATACTTTGTTAAATTTAAACAGCCTGCGGCTGTCTTTTCCTTGTTTAGAGGGATTTGCGATAACTAGATCACCATTTTCACCAATATATTCTATGGTGGTTTCCCTTTGGCTTTGACCCCGAAGAAATGGTCTTATTCGACAGTAAACTCTAATATTACCTTCATGCGAAGGAAAAAAAGCATCATAATCAACTAACAAGAAATCAATCCAAATATGACAATAACACAATTGTATTTGATAATATACCTTTCAAATCCTGAACCTCATTATACAATTTCCGATTTTCATCGAGAACAGCATGATACTTTTCAGCAGCATCTGTTAGTTCTTTAAGCTTCAAACCTTCAATATGAAAGCCATAAATTGTGAAGAGATACCCTTCCCAAGAAAAAATTAGAAATTAATTATCAGTCTTACCCAAGTAATTAAATTCTTCGGAATAACTGCCTTTTGTCTTCAAGATTTCACGTCTAGTGGACTCCAAAGTGGCACTTAATTCCTGTCAGGCATCATCAGCATATCAGGTTGTAGAATCAACATCAACACATTGAGTCTAAGAGACTAAATTAATAACAGCAAACCTGCAAAGCTCGAGATTGGCAAGTTACGCAGCTTTGATAAGTGCGTTCTTTATTTTTCCATCTCCTTGATTCATTTTCCAAAGATGCCTCTAGTTCTTTCTGGTTCTTCTTTGAATCTGTTAGTATGCACTCGAGTTCCTTTAACTTCCTTTCCAGTTGAAGTTTAGCTTCTTTTGCATTTGCCTCTAACTTGTGGCAGTAACTTTCATGTCGACTTGTGGCCATTTCTAGTTCCTGTTTCAGTGTTGAAATCTGTGAATCCCTGCGATCCTTCTCTTCCTTTAATCGCACTGCATCCTCCTCCTCAAGTTTTTTCTGCTCCTCTATATCAAACTTCTCAAGCTGCAAGAAAAAATAACCATATTATAAAAATTATATAAAATTTTCCTAAAACAAGAACTAGAAATTGCCTGCCTTTTTCTACATATAAAAGCATATTTTACAAATCATATCTGAGAGTCTTTTGGTTCGTTATTTAATCAACATTTTCTTAGTTTAGATGAGAATATTAGAAAGTTAATTATCCTTCATTTCAGTAGTGGGATCTTCACCAAATCAGGTATGAACACATAACAAACAGAAATATAGTTTGTGGAGATGAAATTCATTTGTTTAATGCATGGAAAGAAGATTAATAAAAACAAATCCTACAAACTTCCCCAACAGGTGATATTTCATGGAATGTCAACCAAGAAAGCATTCAAGACTGGTGTACATGTTACACATATTACACAGCTATCTACACAACGTCATATACTCATTGGCTGCGTTTGTATCGCAGAATCAGGTTTCCAGACTTTTGAACCTATTCCTTGGAATGGGATTCCTAAGAAGTGATAAATAGCTATTTTCATTCCAAAGTTCTAGAAAAAGTTGGAACGTAAGTATTTTTTTTATCAGGATACCAATGACTTCTAAAGAAGTACAGATATAAGGGCATGGTCATCAGTATGACTCATTTATGAAGTCAAAGCTAATTGGTTCAGGAAGCCCACTTCTTTCGTAGTGTTTGCAAAAACTTTTGCATTTAGATGCTCATGGGAAGCAAAACCCAAACTAATTATACTAACCAAACATGGAAATTGAACAATAAACCCATTCCCTAACCATGATACAATAACAAAAACACACGCATAGTTCATAATTCATGCAGATATATTATGTCAAGGAAAAAGGGCATGTGAATTTGAATGGATGAGATATTCAAAAGACAGGTAAAAGTGAAGACATTGAAAAAATACATGTGTTTCTAAGAGTTTTAAGACACAAAAAGTCATTGAAATAAAAGAATCCACAATATGAAATGCTTCATCATTGGTAAATTTAAGATAGGAATAAAAGATTGAAATTGCACCTTGATATTCTGAAGCTGTTTCAGAACAACCTAAAGGAAGATGGGAAGAAGGAACAACAAATGAGATCGATTAGATTAATATCCAAAATTATAATTTAAATTTTCTCAATAAAAAATTTAAAAAGGGAAGCACAGCCAAATTTATTTTATTCAGTGTACCTCATTTTCTTCGGCAGTCCCAGAAGTGAGGGTCTCAAGTACTTTTATTTTCAATAGATACTTCTCCTCACGGGCCTTATATATATTGTTTTGCTACAAGAACCCAAAAATTGAAACCTTATAACTAATGAATAGAATAAGAAAATGATATTCTCTGACAAAAACAAAGGCAGAAGTATTTACAATTCTCAAGTTAACTGCCTGATTTGCAAATCGCTGCTCAGTCACTTGCATGACTTTTTTCAGAAGATATGCTACACGCTGAAATTTTTTATTACAGATAATAATTAGAGATACAAGTTTAAATGTACAGCACAAACAAGGACATAAATTTATAACTGTGAATATATGCATGAACGCTTTCAATGGCGTCCATGTATCCTCTTACTGCCATACATGAGGTACATCACCATTGTTTCTGTCAATACTGTCATCCAGAATCTTGTGCCCAACATTGAAAAGTGATCGAGTAGATGCATTCTGCAACAAAGAAAAATTGTAATATGGAACTAAAGTTTCACTAAAATACAGCAACAACTTATAATTATATGTACATCTAAAAGAAAGTAACAAGAACGAAAAAAGGTTCAAGAGATTACATCTAAACTGGTTGATTTGATTGATTCCAAAATCTTAGCATCAGAAAAATCAACAAAAGTCCCCTGCTTCAGTTGCTGTCCAATATGATGTACTAAATCAGCTGATGGATCTGAAAACAAGGGAGAAAAGGAAAACAAAAGTAATGTATTAACAATATTGTCAGCACATATGAAACAACAGAAGCAAAATAACATATCCAATTATATGCACAGCAGCACAAGCAACACAACCTGCCACCCTTTCAATCCAAACATCCAGTCTAACTTTATAAGGTTGTTGCACTAAAGTATCCACAAAAGTACCCCAGAGAGAGAGTTCACACCTCTAGCTTCACACCCTACCCCCTAACTCCTAGATTCATCCAATTAAGGACTTATGCTGCATGGCACATAGTATAAAAAATCTCATATATGCAGCATATGAATTGAAATAAAAATTACCACAGACCAGCATCATGAACAAAATTATATGACTACGAAATCATAGAAAAGAGTATCTTTCCAGGGAGGATTTCTAAATAAATGTTATTCACTTTAGAGTGGTAACGCAACAACTTTACCCCTAAACGACTTACAACACTTTAATCTATGTATGCTCTTCTTGATCATGTTCTCAAGCAAAGCCGAGAAAAAAGTTGCCTAAAGTTTTAACAAGATAAATCCAAAATCCAAGTTGAGTTCCATTACTTGTGATTTCACTCATGCGCACCAGTTAGATGACCATAAAAGACTCTTGAAAATACTAAAGCATAACAAACCAAGATATTAAATTTCTAAAATTTGTTACTACATGTAGGTCCATACAAGTCTATGATTTCCTACCTGTCACTTGAGATGTTGAATCAACTGAATTTCCTTGTGTCTCTTCTCTATTTTGAGTACATTGTTGTCCAAATTTTGAGATATCCCCTCGGGAACGATCAATTCCCTTTAAAGATTCTATCTCCAACAAATCACTTCCTGTCCTTGTTAGGTGTTTACTGTTCTCTCCCCAAAAACCAAAGTCAAAAGAAGATTTAAGTGCACCAAGGCATTGCAAGACTGGTACCAGAGATCCCTGCAATTTTATCCCAGACCATCAATTGATACAAGGAAGTTAAGTGTAAGAAAAAAATAGTGAGGAACCAAAGGGATTATTTTCCCATGCCAAATATTGGTACAGGACAATCCATCCAGTCTGAACAAATCTAGGAATTATTATTGGGCTGGTCACATAAAATACAATATGGTTTTATAGTGGAAAAGCTTTCTTTCTTGGTAAATACACCCCACATATAATAAACCGAGAACTCTGCGGATAATAGAGCTAAGGCCAAGCTGGCCGCATGATGCTTAGTTTCAATTTATTGGATGTCACCAAAGGTACCAGGTTACTCAGTTTCATGATGGTGCTGAGGTTAAAATAGCTTCTATGAAATCAGACGTAAATAATCCACGACTGGTTTTAAAAAGGTTAAAAACCAAAATAGTCAAAGAAATATCAGTTTAACTACCTGCTCTAGGTCTATCAGGTCAAAGCGGGGGAATCCTAATTCATCCACAGCCACCAGAAACCTCTTGACATTTGCGAAACCGGGGTCCGAACTCCCTCCCTAAATCGGGGAAAAACCATTCAAATGAAGAATCAAGAATGCAACATAAAAAAACCATGTACCGGTACAGAACTAATACAATTTAAAATAAAAATAAGGGAACATCCTTAACAATTGTATTTATACACCAAGATGTTTATAAGCCAACAAAACAGAACAGTAGTCATACCATTTCAACTGAACCAGGACACAGCTTATTTAAAATTCTGCATAAAACAGTGCCATCAATTAAGCAGGCTCTGAGTTCCTCCTCGGTAGCATCCAATGGCAATCTTAAATAAGGGACGATAAAGTTTAACCACTCCACCAAAGATAATATCTGGTTGTCTGAAAAAGGAAAACAGAGTTGGTAAATCATGGAGAAGGAGGAACTCTTAATGGGGCCAATTTTGTTTACATAACTCCAGGTCTAGGGAGAGAGAGAGAGAGAGAGAGAGAGAGAGAGAGAGAAACAGTTTACTACCTTCAACTGTGCTGCTGAAACTTTCCGCTGGGTCAGCATTTGCAGTTGAAGTCCCATTTAAATTTTCAAACCCCTCCTTTTCATCTTTGTGTGACTTTGACCCCCCATTCTCATCTTTCTGAGACTCTAACTGAGTGTTCATGATATAATCTCCAGGAATGTCCTGTTCTTGTTATCAATTGAGGACACGCAGCTACAAGGAAACAATAATACAAAGCATATACACCAACAGGAAAATACATGAGTCTCTGTAACTAGTAAGGAACAAAATCTTATGAATGGAGACAAAATCCATCAAGTAATTTCCCTGAGAAACAATTAATGCAAGGTCATGCACATGTCCCATTATGCATAAATCAACGAATCATCAAAAGTACCATGCCTCAGTTGAAAGTCAGCAGTTCATAACTTCATGCCATTGCAATGCATGGCATTCCAACTACGTAATCAAATAACTGCAGAAAGATTGAAAATTTCATATACCAAATTCAACAATTAATTAATTTCCACCATGTGCAGCCAATATAGTATCATTTTTCTCCGTTGCAACTTTACTTAAATAGCATTTATGTAAATAGAATTCTGCTACAAAATATTGAAAATCGCTTCACCTACACCTCAAAGTGAACTCTTTGTTGCTTTCTGAGAAACCCGACCAAAAAAAAAAAGAAAGCAAAGTTTATGAAGTGCATTGATCCTTTTCTTCATATACACTTTATATAATAAGAAAATCACACTCAACTAGAACACACACAACACACATACAAATATATGTGTATATATATAATTATACACAAATATATAGAATTGGCTGACATCAAACAATTACATATCAAATAACTACTCTCCTTGTACCTTTACCTTATCCTATCCTCAATTTTCCCAGCAACCAAACAGACCCTAAATCATCAACCAACAAAAAATAATCAAAAACCCAAGAGAAATGATAAATAAAATCCCAAAATGCATTCGAACTCAAAATCTCACCTATAAAATTACACAATTTCCAGCTGCATTGTCCAATTCTGAAACCCCAAGCAGAAGAAACACAAATTCCACAATCAGATAGCCAAACAAAAACCCTAATATTTCAGCGATTGGACCACAACGCCAGAGAGATCACACCAGACAGAGCGAGAGAGAGCGAGCTCCGGAGCCGCTGGCCGGAGGAATTCGAATTGAAATTCCTCCGAAAATTGCAAATGCCGGAAGGCGAAAAAACAAATGCTGGAATCCTGGGGAACGATCCGTTTCAGAAAAAAAATTCAGAAATTAAAATTAAAAAATAAATAATTTTTGTAATTTCTTTTTTTTTTCTTTTTTTTTATTTCGATTTTTGAGGTCCCAGAAGAGAGAGGAAGCAAACGTTCGGGACAACAGGGAGTGAAAAGAAAGATTGGGGGGGATTGGTTGGGCATTCGGATTTTTTATTATTTTCTTCTAATTTTTGTATTTCGGATTAAGGACCTCTGATTTTGGCTAATTGCATTTTGGTCCCCCGGCCTCCCACTTTTGGAGTGGGGTTCCCGCCTTGTTATTTTTGTCTGTTGTTGTTATTCGGATTTTAAATTTTCCAACTTAAGCCTTTTTCATTCGGATAACCAAAACTAACTTATTAAAAAACAAATTAGTTAATATTTTTATTTATTAATTTAAATTTAAGCCTGCGCGTGCATGTGTACGCGCTTCCCCCGGTGCAAGTACAGCTGAAGACAACATTATGCTTATCTATTTTTTTCCATATTTAGTAATTTATTTAACACATTAATTGCCGAGGATAAGTAAGGAATGTTTCAATTAGGGAAAATAATGTAATTTCACATCTGCAAAATTTTAAGGAGATATGTTACCATAAATGTCACATCCCGGCCTGAGCAGGATCATTTCTCAGGCTCGACTCCACCGTAGCACGGTTTTGTTTCTAAGAACTCACACGAGAACTTTTCAGTGAGTCAGGTGACAGTCAACATGCCTTGATTTCGGTCAGGGTGTGTCAATAAAAGCACAAATGTAATTATTGAATTAGTTATTGATTTAGCAGTGATTTTTTTCATTTCTTGTTGTAGTTTCTTTCTTGCGCACTCAACCATCCCCTGGTCAAGCTCTGGACGAAGCTCGCGCTCGGCCCCTCGGTGGAAGCTATTGGGACAGCGGCTTTGATAGCGCTTTCTCAATGAGATATGTCGTATTGCAATAGAGCCCATATGGAACTATTCGCATTGGGAGTGGTCGGACAAGTGACTTAGCCCGAACAAAAGACTCATTCATTTTTAGGACACATGGCTTTGAACCCACATTTTTGTTTTTGATCTGAGCTTTGAACCCATCTTAAACAGCACTCATGCCTAAACAGCTGAAAATGTTATTAACTGTCTTTAACGTTTAGTTGAAAAATATAAGGGTGGTGCTATCCACATACTGTTTTTTACTTTCACCACATATCTTTTAACTTTTGACCGTTAGATAAAGCGAATTGAAGAGGAACAAAATTAACAAGAAGCGTGTGGAAGATAAAAAAAAAATGTGGGGAGCGGCACCACCCAAATATTATTATAAAAGGAATGTGAGTAATGATATTCTCACATTTGTGACCTGATGCATGTTATGTTGACTGTTTAATGAAGCAACTTTTCACAATTTTTTCATTTAGCCAGTGGTTAAAATGTAAGCATTATTTCTTGAATTTTAGAGCATCTCTACAATGAAAACAATGACTGGCAATGGTGAGTTTGCCATTTTAATAGGTTTTCCAATTTCAAATCTCAATTGACAAGCCATAATCTATTTGCCAATTTATTTTTATTTTAAAAAATATATTTGTTATTATTAAGGAGAGGGGATGATTCGAAACTATTATAATAATTTATAAGATGAGGAGTTTCAAACTTGAGATGCATGGGTGGAAACCCAACACCCTATTTGTTAATTTACTTTTTAAATTCAATTGAAAATGTTGTTTTTTAAAGAAAATAAATGATTTATGAAACCAATCAAGCACCATATCTATGTACTCATGCCGACAAATGTAAATGGTATTATACAAGACTTTGATTAGAAATAAAAAAGGACCAAGATTGTCTCCCTTTCTACTTTCCATCCCCTTCCATCCCCTCCTACTTTTTCAGCCATTAATTTTATGTCAAGTTAATTTAATGCTCCAAATTTTGTCACCTCACCAACAACACTAAAGCATCTTTCAACCCAATTTTCCTGATTTTTTATGCTACCTCCCCCCTCCTATATGCCTTCCCAGCTCTTCCAATTTTCCTGAACTTCACCTCCCGCCAATTTGATTTCTGGGTCACAATCACAACAAAGTTGATCATCTAAACTTTTGCAACTCTATCCTTATGCCATTTTACACCACTGCATCTTCATTGGGTCTTCCCAGGTCTGTGTTTTATGATTTTTTTTTTTTTTTTTTGCTTGTTCGCTATAGGATTTGTATTTTCTTTTTTATCGTGTTGGGGTCCTCTATTTTTTATTGAACATGTCCCATTATTTGTTTTTATAGAGTAATTGAGAACAATTTTAAAGTGGACAAAAGTCTTAGTACTACTTAATTAAAGCCTACATCCTACAAATTTTGAGATGATGATTTTTTTTTCTCCTATATCTTTTTCTCTATTGCAGATAGGATGGCAAATGATTGATTTTGATGAATATAGGCTTTGAGTTTGAATGCAAGTGGTGACCATTGGAGATGAAGAGGGGAAGCCAACTTATTGTTATTGCAGAAGTAGCTATGCCATACATAGAGATTGCAGAGGTCAATTTATTGTTATTTTGGACTTCTTGAGTCTGCATTACCGGAGGCTTAATTGAAAATTTTGCTTCTATTGTAAGTGCAAGAGATTGTAGACAAAGTTGTTGAGTTAGATAGGTTTGGATCTCGTTGGTTTTTGCAAAACAAATATTTTGTGTGTAATTTTGAATCTACATATTCTGGTGGTACAATCCATGCTTATTAATTTTGAATACGCAAAAAAGTTCTGCTTGTATTGGAAGCATGTATTAGTACTCCAGTCCAGGCTTATGTAAAATGCATTTCAGAAACAAAGGTAGCTTAAAAGGCAGATAGGAAGGGGTGGAAAGGCAGCAGAAAACGTTGGGAAATTTGGGCTTGAAAGATGTTTTAGTGTTGTTGGCGAGTTGGCAGAATCTAGAGCATTAAATTAACTTGGTATGAAATCAATGGCTGAAAAAGTAGGAGGGGATGGAAGGGGATGGAAAGTAGGAGGGGAGACAATCTTGGTCCGAAAAAAAATGCATGGGTGAGGGTTGAAGTCTTGACGACAATTTCAAAGAAACAAAAAAAAAAATATCGGATTTGAATAGTAAGACAAGGCTTAGGACATATTATAGAGAGTTAAAGCATCTGCATTGTTACATCACGCATCAAAATTTATTGTATTTTATCTCCAACAATATGAAATACAAAAATGCCCTTCATGGGCTAAATGGGAATCCTACATGGACCTTTGAATGCTTTTCATAGTTTGTCTCTTTTCTCGACTTATTTAAGGAGTACTCGTCACCATGAATGGACGTAAATTGAATGTGTAACAAATGATTTGCACATGTTTCAAGGTGAAGTGCAAAATTACCATTTTGCACCATCGAGAATCCACAACTTGTTTTTCAAGACATGGGTTGTCAGTATCGCAGCCTGCTGACTGTGGTACTGTTGGTTTGCTAGCTAAACTTGTTAAACAAGTGGGCAAGTTGGCCCATTTATTTTTATTATATTCTAATTAGGTCTAATGCCTAATTAATTTGTTGTTTGGGCTTGACCCACACACACACACACACTCACAACTCACTCTCTCCCTTAGTAAACCCTCAATTCAACCTCTCTCCCCGATTTCCTTATCTCTCACTCTCTTGTTTACCACCACAGAGTGTCATCACCACCCTTAACCTCATTCACTGATGATGAGACCATCATCACAGAAACCATCTTACCACATCGAACCAACCTAAGCTATAGTTTGGTGAATTTCGAACCCCCAAGTCTTCAATTCAAGGAGCCCCGTCCAAACTCAATTTCCCTTGGCCCAGTTCTCGACAACTATGACCAAGGTAAACCTCGAAACCACCCATGATTGTCTCAAAATGTTGTTCTATGTGAGATTTTGGTCTTCATGTGAAGTTTGGCTCCACATTTGGAAGTTTTGAACGAGTCATTGTCGTTTTCTTTTTCCTGGCAAGGTATAGAATTTTCTGATGGGATACTATCTTAATCTCATTGTTAACTACATTGGAAAAATTAAAGAGCAGTGAAGAATTGAGAAGATGAAGAGCTAGGGAGCCAACAGAAAAGAAAGGAAATGATCTTTATTATCAAAAGAGTTGAATGAATTACAATATGATTCATCACTCAGTTATATAGAGTACAAAGCTTAACTCCAAAGCTAACAGATATAACAAGCATAACAGCAATAACCAACTCTATCAATCTAACAACCTTTCAACAAACTCTTGATGACATTGCACTCTGATGTGAATATTGCCAACATCCCCCCTCAATCTTAACTGGGATTTCCAGTTTGAGATTGTATGAGTGCTTGAGAAATACAGAACAATGAAATCCTTATTGTCCATATACTCCTAGCCCTGCTCCCATCATCAATTAATCCTCTGTTCTTAGT